TAACTCAGGGAGGAAGTCCTAATCAGGTGCTGAAAGTTTGGGCCTGTCTTCAGGCTCTCTACAGTGTAACTTTTATTTTTCTTATGTAATTCATTTCAGTATTGGTCTGTAATAATCTGTTGAAAATAAGTACTAGGGTTGGCTAGTGAAAAGGGATGGGGTAAATATGCATGTCATAGTTGTTAAGGGTAGAAAACATGTTATTAGGTTTATATTCCTAATTGCGCAATAGAAACCATGCTTAGGATTCATACATTAGACATCATGCTATTTAGGATTTGTATCTACTATTTTCAGCATCTCATCCACACTTAGAAATCCTGCCTATAGGGTAGATAATAACAATAAAATAAGCTGCTATTATGTGATTCTGCCCACGTAAACATGTTCCAAAATTTCATTTAGAAATCCTGCTCTTAGGAAATTCTGCAATCATGTTGTGTATTTAGAAATCTTGCTCTTAGGAAATTCTGCAATCTTATTGTGCATTTAGAAATCCTGCTTTAGGAATCCTGCATATAAATCATTAGATACCATGATTAGGTTCTTGTTCATACTCACTCAGCTACGCTTAGTTAAACTACTAATGCATAAAAAGGAGTATCAACAGTCTTATCGTGCTTTAAACAAACTGGTAATAATCCCTGCATGTTTTTGCAATATTTAGAACAACATGTTTTAGGTACAAATAATTTCCAAACTATTTTTATAATTCTAAATAACTGTTGCATGTTATTTTACGCCTAGGCAAGCCTTAGGTGCTAAATTTGTCAAAACTGGAAACAAGCTTCTTTATGTATGTTGCTTAATTATCAACTGTTAGAATCAGTAGGCAAGCCAGATTCAGACATCTTTTCTGAGTCATGTAATAAATCTAATTCTGTTGTTGTCACTTAGATACCATGCATAGGATCTGAATGTGGACCTTATCTATATATGAGGCATGTTGTCTATGTGCATTACTTGTGGAGGTATAACTGAGCCTTATATATATTTTTTTGTATTTCCCCCTAAATGCAGTCCTATGTGTTCTTATTTGTCACCTAATATTTTGCCTTTAAACCTGAGGGTCTGCCTAGAACCCCCCTTTTATAGGATATGAGTCCTAAATTCCTCCAGGACTGATAGGAAGGGACGGGTAACAGCATGCAATAGGGGTCGAGACCAACCTTCGATTTAACTATCTTCACGGGCGGGAAAGGGTTGATATGGATATGATGACCGGTGCGTTAATACCACGTGTAGACCCTCTTTGAGGAGTGTCATACCGGGTATTGCATTGATGTGATCTATATTATAAACAAACCTAGGACACCCCCTATACATCTCCGAATATGCTTAGATTGTAATTCTTTTTTTTCAAAATCTTGCTTTCATTAATTGCCGCGTTCTTAAACTTAAATCCCCTACTATTTGAGCCATACTTGCCTATTTGCTAATTGGACAAATTCACAAAAAAACTGTTTGGCTGGGAACCACACTAGTGGATCCTGAGGGGTGCTTAACACCTTTCCCTTAGGATAATTTCAAGTCCTTACCCTATCTCTGGTTACCAAACATAGTTATAAATGAACATTATAGGTGACCTAACGCACCTTAAATCGTTAGCTGGCGACTCTTCAAACTGCACCCCATTTCCCAAAAGGAAAGAGTTGTCCCAACCAAATGTCATAAAATCGATTCCGCGAAGGAAAAAGGGGGCACGATAGGATGCGAGTTGTATGTGGACCATGATAGGGAACTGCATTAGAAAAGCTGCTAGAGAGGTGTGAGGCGTATCAAAGGGTTATTCGGGAGGCCACAAAGGGGATTGGTGGTGGAAGGAGGAGGCCCAAGGAAATGTAGAAGTTAAGAAAATGGCATATCTGAAGCTAGTGGGGTGCATTGATGAGGAGGAGCAGAGGACGTGTAGGGAGCTTTATAAGTTGGCAAGGAAAGAGGCAAAATGGGCAGTCACAACGGCTAAGACTATAACTTTTAAGCGATTATACAAGGATCTTGGGGGCAAATGAGGCGACAGAAAGATGTATAAGTTAACCAAGATCAAGGAGAGGAAGGCTCGGGACCTGGATCAAGTGTGGTGCATCAAAGACGAAGATGGTAGGGTTTTGGTGGAAGAGGCGGGTATTAAGCGTAGATGGCAGAAGTTATTCCATAGACTCCTAAATGGAAGAGTACAGGAACATAGTATTAGGAGAGTTGGAAAACTCAAGGAGTTAGAGGGATTTTGGGTTTTTCAGGCGTATTAGGAGCGATGAGGTTGAAGGGGCAATGCGGAAGATGAGCAGGGTAAGGCAGCTGGGCCTGACGAGATCCTAGTAGAATTTTGGAAGGAAGCAGGGCGGGCAGGCTTTGAATGGCTTACTAGGTTGTTTAATGTCATTTTCAGGGGGAAGAAGATGCATGAGGTATGGCGTCGGAGTTTGACAATCCTGTTGTACAAGAATAAAGGTGATATTCGGGACTACAACAGCTATAGGGGTATCAAGTTGCTGAGTCATACTATGAAAATTCGGGAGAGGGTGATGGAGAGGAGGGTGCGACGTAGTCTTACTATTTCCAAGAACCAGTTTGAGTTTATGCCAGGAAGGTCTACTACAGAAGTCATGCACCTTGTGAGGAGATTGGTGGAGCAATATAGGGAAAGGAAGAAAAACTTACATATGGTATTCATAGACCTAGAGAAGCCTTATGATAAAGTCCTGAGAGAGGTCCTATGAAGATGTATGGAGGCTAGCGGTGTCCCAGTAGCATATATTAGGATGATTAAGGACATGTACGAGGGAGTGAAGACTAGGGTGAGGACTGTAGGAGGAGACTCGGATCATTTTTCAGTAGAGATGGTGCTGCATTAGGGATCAGCTCTTAGCCCATTTTTGTTTGCCTTAGCGTTAGAGGTGCTGACGCGACATATACAAGGGGAGGTGCCATGATGTATGCTATTCGCTAACAACATAGTCCTGATTGATGAGACACATTAGGGAGTTAACGCTAGGTTGAAAATTTGGAGAGAGACGCTGGAGTCTAAGGGTTTTAAGTTGAGTAGGTCAAAAACTGAGTACTTGGAGTGCAAGTTCAGTGATAAGTGGCAGGAAGAAGGAGTGGAAGTGAAGATTGGTACTCAAGTCATCTCCAAAAGAGATAGTTTCAAGTATCTTGGGTCGATTATTTAAGGAAACAGGAAGATTGACGAGGATGTTACCCATTGTATTGGAGCGGGGTGGATGAGGTGGAGGCTTGCCTCGGGGGTTTTGTGTGATAAGAGTGTGCCACCTGGACTTAAAGGCAAGTTCTACAGAGTGGTGGTTAGACCGGCTATGTTGTATGAGACTGAGTGTTGGCCCGTTAAGATGTCCCATGTCCAGAAGATGAAAGTAGCTGAGATGAGGATGCTGAAATGGATGTGTGGTCATACTAGGAAGGACAGGATCAGGAATGAAGTTATTAGAGACAAAGTAGGTGTGTCATCTGTGGAGGACAAATTGCAGGAGTTGAGGCTGAGATGGTTCGGGCATGTGAAGAGGAGAGACATAGATGCTCCGGTCAGAAGGTGTAAGAGGTTGTCCATTGTGGGTCTGAGGAAGGGCAGGGGCAGGCCTAAGAAGTATTGGGCAGAGGTAGTTAGGCAGGACATATCATTGCTTCAGCTTACCGAGGATATGACCCACGATAGAAAGACGTAGAGGTCGAGGATTAGGGTTGAAGGTTGACAGTTAGTAATGTGTTCCTCATAGGCTTACCGGCAGTACTAGGACTATTTTTGTATTATCTTATTCATGATTTTTTACTATTACATGTTGCGTCATTTGTACATATTACCTTAATGTATTGTTGTTACTATTGATTGGTACTTGTTGCCTTATCTCCATTGTGCCTTGAACCGAGTGTCTTTCGAAAACAACCTCCATAACATTATAAGGTAGGGGTAAGGTCTGCGTTCATATTACCATCCCCAGACCCCATTTATGGGAATACACTGGGTTCGTTGTTGTTGTTGTTGTAAACTTGTGAAATTGATGAAATTTATGAACTGTAGAGGTTATTAGCGAGTATCATCAATAATTCTTACCTATATTACCTCGTCAAGGTTAGCAATAATACTAGCTGAGTACATGTGGTTGGTTGTACTCATACGACACTCTTCACTTAATTTTGTAGATCCATGTGCTGGTCCGAGCTGTGAGTAGTTGGTTTGTTGCTGAGGATTTGCAAAGAGACGAGGTAGAATTGTATTTCAACCATAGTCTTTGGTGTCTTTTAATTTATTTATGTATTATTGCTTCATTCAGACAATATTTTACTTTGTATTCCCGACTTGTACTTCCATTTTAGAGCTCGTGACTCTATTTTACCAGTTCTGGAGGATTGTTATGTATCGACCCAGTTATTTATGTTATTGGCTTTAGACTTGTACTGTTTTCATTATTTGTGTTATCTTGTTCCGCTTTTATCATGTTTGTCTTGCCTAGCAAGTGAGTTAGGTGCCATCACGACCGGTTGGTGCTTTTGGGCCATGACACGAGCGAAAAACGACGACGGCAGCGTGATGCTGCCCTCTTCTCAACTCTTTAAGAGATAGAAGAAGTGCTTCTATATATAAGTACAGTAATCTTCCTCTTCCTTTTCAATGAAGGATAAAGTTCCTTTGTAAAAGGAATCTTCAAATATTTTATTTTCCTCCATTTTTCATTCATATCTCAACTAAAAATTCAACAAATACTTCATATGGATGTTCATTTTTATAAGAGAAAGGAATTCAATTTATAGGCTCAAAACTAAAAATTCGAAATATCCGAAGCTTCTAATCTAACCCCGAACATAAAAATCCGATCCTATCCGAGCTTATCTAGATTGAATTTGGATTGTAATTTCTTCAATTCGAAAACCTAAAATTCAAATCAAAATTTTCATATCCTATCCAAATGCCCGCACGCCCACCCCTATAATCAATTATGTTTTTAAGTAGCCTTGTAATGTTAATTAGCTAAACAAATTCCCACACAAACAGTTAAATGTCACTATTGTACAAATTATATTACAAGACATAAAGTTGCCCTACTGCAACTATTCAGGAGAACAAAGAAAGCCAACAAAGAAGAAAAATAAGCTAGACATACCACAACCCTTTGAGAAAAATATAATTACACACAAACAGTATGGATGTCGGAAATCTAGCACTGCATCTTCGGTAATCTTGCTTACCAAGGAAACTGAATGCTGAAAATCCATTCAACGCGTGAAAAAAGAACCAGATTGGACATCAGATATATGGTAGTCGCGGTTGATTTAAAATATCATAACGAACTCTTCTATCGTGTTGTATTTTCCAAGGGAAGTTAGTAGTCTAATTGTACGGGGTATCGGTGGATGCAGTCTTCCCAAGGACTATTAGGAGATGGTTTCACATTCGTAAGTGCTTGCCACACTGCACTGTTACACTTGAATCCACTCCCAAATGCTATTTGCCAAATCCTGTGACCCTTTCTGATTCTTCCTTTTGCCTCAATATAAGCCAATTCATACCATATTGAACTGGATGAAGTGTTCCCAAATCGATGTAGAGTCATCCTAGAAGCCTCTACATGAAGAGGAGAAAGTTGCAAATTCTTTTCTAACTCGTCAATCACAGCTCTTCCACCAGCATGTATGCAGAAATGTTCGAAAGCCATCTTAAAATCTGGTATATATGGCTTGATTTTGGCATGGAAAAGTTTTCTTGCCACAAGGGACATGAAGAAAAGCAATTGTTCGCTAATTGGAAGTACAAGTGGACCCAATGTAGTAATGTTTGTCTTGAGGGCATTTCCAGCAATTGACATCAAATCTTTTGACAAAGACACCCCAGTTTTCCCATTGTCATCTTGTTCTTGGTACACACATTTGAAGGCTGTATCATCAGCTCCTTTATGAGTCCTCACTACATGAACAACCTTGTACTTTGCCCTCCTCTTGTCCCCTGACTTGTTTGATAACAGAATAGCTGCTCCTCCAACACGAAACAAACAATTCGGAATCAACATGGCTTTATTGTTCCCAAAATACCTGTTTTGTGTTATGTTCTCCATGCTGACAACAACAGCATATGTATTCCTATGAACTTGTAACATGTCTTTGGCAAGATCTATGGCAATAACTCCTGCACTGCATCCCATCCCACCAAGATTGAAGCTTTTAATATTCCCTCTCATCTTGTACTTATTCACAATCATAGCAGAAAGTGAAGGAGTGGGATTGAACAGGCTACAATTCACCACAAGAATTCCAATATCTTTTGGCTTGACATTTGTGTTGTTGAACAAATTGTCTAGTGCACCAAACATGACTTGCTCTGCTTCTTCACGTGCCGTTGCCATAGATGGTCTTGGTGGAACATCATGCAAAGCCTCAGGCAAGTAAGTTTCTTCTCCGAGACCTGACCTCTCCAAAATCTTCCTCTGGAATTCAAGAGATGATTCATTAAAATCACCACTAAGTCTTGAATGTCCCATGAACTTACTGAATTTAACTTTAAGGTGTTCAGGAGGATGATAACAAGAATAATCCACAAGGTAAATGGATCTAGGCCTTGTCATGATATAAACAGTTGTTCCAAAAACAAAGAGTGCAGAGAAAATGATGATGCTAGCAAGATTCAACTTTAGGTGGAGATAAAGATTTTGCAAGTCTTGATAGTTCATTTGGGAGGCTTGAACAAAGGTGACAGATATTAGAGGGACCAAACAAAGACTCAAAAAGTGAGTCACCAAATAATGGTATCCTAATTTCACATATTTGAGGTTGATGCTTTGTAGGAAATCAGGAAGAACACTTGTACTTTGTTTGATTTGAACAACAGGGGTGGTGCCATTGCTAGCCGTGGACAGTGGCGGAAACGGGAATTCTTTATTGCTCATGATGGAAAAGGGGATATTTATTGAGAAAATTGGATTTCCAGGGGAACTACTGCAGGTTTTTGTGCGATAGTGCCTAGATTTATATAATACTACTGGAGAGTGTAAGCGTAGTGAATAAATAAATTGTCGGGAAGAGGATGGTTCTGGATTTATGAAATTACTGGACGTTGGGTGGGGTGTTTGGAAAGGTAGATGCAACTACAACAACGCCCAAAATATGGGAAAAAACAAGAGCCATGCCACGTAGATGGCGTTAAATAGGCGTTAAATTGGATATCACAGGTTTTGACTTTTAAGTCACAGTAGCCGGTACGGTCCATGTTAAATTTCGAAATGGGAAAATTCCCACGGAAACCGCTATCCACTGTCACAGTGGGTGTTTGGACATAGGAAGTGTAAAATTCCAAAAAAAAAAAGTGAAAAATATTTTCAACTGAAAATGGTATTTGAAAATTAGAGTTGTGTTTGAATATGAATTTAATTTTGGATTGTTTTTGAAATTTTGTGAGTGATATGAGTGAAAATTTCGAAAAATAGCTTTTTGGTATTTTTCAAATATTCGAAAAAATTCAAAATTCATATTCAAGTGAAAATTACAAATTTTATGGTCAAACGCTGATTTCGAAAAAAAGTGAAAATTTTCGAAAAAAAATAAAAATATTCTTATGTCCAAATGGGCTCTGAGTAACATATTTATTGTTCAATAACTCGCAAACCATGCAGGAAATATAAACTGTACTAGACAAGCTCAGTACGACGAGTTCTGACTGAAGAGGCTGTTGGTGAGGAAAATGAATCCCAAGTCTCCCATGAAAGAAAGCTTCAACTCAATCAACCCTTGCGGGGTGTGCGTAGTACTTACCCATACTATTTTTTGAGGAAAAATAATTTCTCATGGACTCTCGCATAAAATGTACTTACAGATTTGGTCGAAGTGATTAGAAAAAATAATTCTTGTAACCAATGAAATGTTTGATTGGCTATATAAGAAAAAATAATTCACGTATAACTAGTGGAATATCAAACTGACAGTAATAGATAATACTTATCAAATTAGGCTGGAGTATACTTATCATTTATAAAAGATGGAATGTGACAATGATAAATATGTTTTTAAAGTAAACGACCCCCAAGTAACACTCTTTGTATGAGAAGAAATTTCAGCGTCACACTCTTTGTATGATTAATCGTCTCATAACTATTGATATATCATTATTTACTGTATATCAATCCATATATTATTATTCACCATGTGGGCAATGCATACATTATAATGCACATATAGCTAGTACGTGAATCAAACGATCTCTTATATATGCTAGTATATAAATATATATTCAACGTAAATATATTATTATTTACTTTGCTGCGAGAAGCGTGACACCCAAGAGAACAGGAGAAGGACAGGAGTAGGAGTTCATAGTTTTGTTAAAATCCGATTCAAACCGAAAATCAAATTAAATCGATTAAATAAATTGATGTTTGTCGTAATTTTGTGTTCCGAGATCTTTGTTTCTACGCGCTTTACTATTTGCTCTGATTGCCTATTACCTACGCTCCCGTTTCTTCTACTAATCTGCATTCGGAAGTTTCCGCACAAACGAGTATATACTTGAGAAACAGAGAAAGTTGCGTTCCAAGAGAGAATCAAAATTACCGTCCATTATAAAGAGAAGGGAATTCGATTTTTTCTAAAATTATTACTTGTTTTGATTGGGTGTTGTTGCAAACGATCGAAAATATTCTTTGGAGTTTATATCTTGATTTTAGGGGTGTTTGGTGAATATTAGAGTTGATTTTGGATGAATTTTAAGATTGAAACTCGAAGATGAAAAAGTTGTATTAAAGTTGTATTATAATTGTATGTAAATTGTATTTAAATTGTGTTCTGTTGTAGCTATATTTTTTTTAAAATGACTGTTGAATAAAAGTTAAAAAATAGTTGTACAATGTATGAATCGTTGTATAAATTTGTATTTAAATTATAAATACTTTCTATTTAGATAAAGTTGTTGATATATATCAAAATTGTATTACAAGAGGAAGTTTTGGTTATAATTTCAGAGAAGAAGAAGAAGAAGACACTACATACAAAATACATATAAAAGGCATATTTGTACAAAATTTGTATGAAAATTATATTTAAGTTGTATGATACCGTAGTTGTTTTTAACTAGGTAAATATGATGTATGAAAAATGTAGATAAATTATAAATAAGTTGTATAATATATAATTAGTTATATAAATTATTTTTTTCGTTTATCATGAGAATCTGCGAATAAAAGTCAAATTACCACACAAAAAATATTTTTTGATTAAAATTTACTATAATAATATTGAATAATGAAATGTATTTTTTTCTCGAAATAGTTCCTTGACGTTCTCGGGATTCTTCAAACTCATTGCAGTTCGAGGAATTGGATTGCATATACGTAATAACTTTTGTATATTAACAAATTACGGCATTTAAAAGAGCTTCAGCTTACCTAATTTCTTTATGTCCACATACCGCCGAAATTTCTTAGCACATTAATTTTAGAATCACTTTTCTGGGTTCTTACATCACCACATTCAAGGTGAGCAGCTAATCCAAAAGAAAAAAGGATTCATGAATCACGAAGAGTTTAAAGAATTAGGAAAAGAGGAGACGAGAGAAAAAACACTACTAGAAATCGGGTGATTTCGTCCAATAATTGGTCAAATATTTGGTCATACTTGTATACAATGTACAAAAATAATTATATATTAAACTTTTTCAGAATTTTCGACCGATTTCGGTCGGAAAGTTTGAATTTTTTTGTTTCCCGCCCAAGACAAAAATTATATATATTTAATTAACCAACCGAAATAATTATAATTCAATATTTCCGATCGAATTTTTCGATCGAATTCGGTCGGCAAAACGCTTTTATACAAATTAAAATATAAATTTAATAATATTTGTGTGTGTAAATAATAAAGAGCTTTTAAATAAAGAATATATATATATATATATACACTATACTATACTATATAGACATCTTAATATATCTAATGTTATATCGAATATATCTTATATACTATACACATAGCATATATATTATACTATACTATATATATATAATATATA